TAATTATGTTCCTTCAAAAGGGACATAATTGATCTGCAAAATTTTATATGCTAAATAGTTTAGGGACCCATCCTTAATTACCATATTCAATCTCACAAGAACAGTATATTTATAAATGAGACTGAAGTAAAACTGCTCAACTTCTGCCTATCACCAGGCAACATTTTATTGGCAATCTTTGACATTATACAAGGAATCCCAGCTCACTCTATTATTGAAATTAGAAACAATAAAAAAATCCTTCAACCAGTATTTGTATACTCAAGAAGAATGATTAAAATCAATTTTTCCTCACTGTCTCAGATAATAAATCAGTACATACAACAAAAATCTATAGAGATAGTATATACCAAACCAAAATCTAGACCAAGATTAACCAGAGCTATCCAGTGGAACAACCCTTTGCTATACTTTCCAGAAAACTCCCTAATCAATAATTCTTGCTTGGGTAGCAGTATAAAATAGTGTAAGAAAATCTTTAGTATTACCAAAGACTACATGATATGTGAAAGCTTCTTAGTTGTTCAAACATTTGGACAAACACATATCCTATATAGTCTAAAAGTCATCAACCAATCCAACAAAAAATTAGAAAACTCCGTAATAACAAATACAGTATCTTAGTAGTCTTCAGAATCAAACTGCTTTCAGGAACTCTTCCAACCTGTCTTACACTTCACCAGTTATATCCTAATCAATATCCAAATACTCTTTGTCCATAATGTGAACTTCGTACAGAAGATATTCAACATGTTTTCAAATGTGTGGAAGTATCATAAGTAGCTGAGCAAATTATTAAAACTATCAATCAAACTCTCTATTCAAATAATAATCATAAACTGATCTCACATATATGGCAAGTCGTTGAGTTGTCATATAAAGTTATAGACAAAATCTTCTTAACCATAGACTCTATGAACTGAATCAAGGCGGCAACAGAATCTTTGTCCTTATTGCATGATCTAATTTGAAAACCACGTTGCTCTATAGCCAATACTTCATCTCTCACCGGAATCAAGTAGGACCATACCAAGATACACAATTCAGCCAATTCCATTAATCCAGAAGCTAAAAACATCTCACAGGCCAAAGACACCTTCAATAATCCACAAGATAGCATCATTATTGATCTATCTTCTACCGTAGCTAACTCATTTATCCAATCTAAATATAATTATTCCAAATATATTCATAGTCTAACAACTCTATCCACCAATTCCAATTTTACTACTATTTCTCCTAATACTGAGTAGGTATTTATAGCTGCTTGGTGTTATCCGGTAAGATATATTGTTTTAAATTTTCTTTTCAATATTAGTCGTATGGTTACTGTAGGCAATCTAGCATTTAACTCATTGTACCAACATATGAGAGATGTTGTTTCTTTCACGATATATATCCTGCTATATACAAATCAAATAAAGAAATAATGTTTACCTATAAAAAAAAAATTTTTTTCAAATTATTTAATATATAAAATTTTATAACACTAATTATATATTTTTTGAATAAAATATAATTAATTAATTATTATTTTAATTTTGAATTAAGTGATTTAAATTATAAAAAAACTTTTGTAAATAATAATTTTATTATTATTAGTATTTTGATTTTATATTTATTAAAAAATTATTTTAATAATGTTATAAATCAAGGATCTATTATTAGTTATAGTGCAATTCTTTATTTTATAACACTTATATGAAAGTTTTGGATATAACAGAAAGGTATAAGATATAAAAAGAAAATATATAGTTAATAAGTTTATAGGATTTGAAAAAATTTTATTAATTATGAACAATATAATAATATTGATAATTTTATTCAATAAATACTTTATTATTATTATTTTTTTTTTACATTTCATTATATTGTTTTTATATTTTTAGGATGATAAAAAAAAATAATAAAAATAATAAAAGATAATAAAAATAATAAGGTTAAGAATTGATTATCTATTTTGAAAATCTCCATAATACATTATTACTTTTTATTCAATTATAAATCATATTATTAATTATTATTTCATTGTAATAATACATAATAAAAGATATTTGAATTATATTTTTAACTTTAATTTAAAAAATTCTTTTTTCTTATACTATTTAATTAATTATAAATGTTAAAAAATTTTACTTTAATAATATCAATGCTTATTGGAAACATAAAATGAAATAGATAAAATGATAAAATAATTTCAAAACCATATTAATTATAATTTAAACAATATACATATTTTTATTGATAATAATGTTATTAAATATTGATACAAGAATATCAGTCCAGTTTAAAATTATACAAAATTAATACTTGGGGCAGGCTTTATGTCAAAGATAAAATCAATATTTATGTTTTTATAATAACATAATTAATATTAACCATATTGATATTATCAAATAACATTTTTTAGAGCAATAAATTTTTTGGTAGGCATTGATGGCTCTTATAAAATAATAATTCAAAACATATGAGCAAAATAACCGTGGAATTTCTTCAAAAATTCTAACCAATTCAATTAAAAACTTGTGATCTAAAAAGAGAAGTAAAATATAACAATTTAAAAGTAATCAAGAAATGAAAAATATTTCAAAATACTGTAGTAAGTTTAATTAGTTCTATAAAGGAGTATTGTCCGCTTGTAATTGATTATGAAGAGCGAATTCCACATTAAAATTTTTAATTAAAAGTACTCATTTTTAAGCTTTCAAGCAAGTATAAATCACGTGATATAATGCATGTTATGAATAAAAATGTGCTTCCAAAGACTTTATAAAAGATTGGTTGTCAATAATAAATGATCATTAAATAGGTTTTTTTGTTCGAAAAACATCAAATCATTTGCTCGATTTTCTTCCGAAGCTTTAAGTTATGGATACAAGTTTATAATTTTTTATAACTTACTTATTTATTAAAATTTTTAAAATAGGCTAAAAGAAAAAAGTATTAATCTTTTGAATATTAATGAGACGAATATTCTTTTATTGATGATTCGTTTCGAATTTTACATCAAATATCGCGAATTCTGCGAATTCCTTAAATTTATTTACCTTTTATTTTGTCGGAGGCATTTTTAAAGAAACCATCTTTCGAATCCGAAGACCCTTCCGTGTGAGCAAACTCCTCAATTAACTCCTTTTGCTTAGGGGTAAGAGATCTATGATAAAGTTAGAAGCTGTAAGAAAACAACCCTTCAATAAACACAGACCTGATAATAAAAACTTACGTCGGTAATTTCACTTTAAAAACAACGATCTGATCTCCTCGACTTTGAGAATTTAACTTTCTCACACCACGTTTCTTCATATATGCCTGTTGCTCCGGTTGTGAACCCGGAGGAACTTTCAATTCCACATCACCGTCTACAGTAGGAACCTTGATGGTACCCCCCAGTATTGCCGTTTGGAATGGAACTTGCGCCTCAACAATAATATTGGAGCCTTGTCGTTTGAATATCTTGTGAGGCAGGACCCGTATCCTAACGATTAAATCACCAGGTATACCCTCGACACCTAATGGCACATCACCTTGTTTTGGTATCCGAATGCTCATACCATTCTCCACGCCTATAATTATCCATGATGTAAATTGAGTGCATGCACAAATTATACGAATCTATTTCTACGGAGTTATCGGTACCTGCTGGAATATCAATTGCCACCGGCCTACGATCTCTTACTTGCCCTCGACCAGCACACGAGGTACAACGATTTTCAGGACGTATTCTGGTACCTTTACCATCACACTCCGGACATGTACTTTGCATATGGAAACCCGAGGCGATAGACATGCGCCGAACACCTGTACCATTGCATGCATAACATTTGTCTGGGTTTGCACCGCCTTTGGTACCTCGACCCTTGCATTCCTTACACGTGGAAATGGCTTCAACTGTGACAGTCTGAGTTGTTCCGTTAATAGCATCCATGAAAGGAATACTTAATTGCATCTAATTTATCACGAAAAAATTGTAATCAGATAAAATCTACATAATTCTCTAGGCCAATGTTAATGTTAGCTATGCGCAAGTCAGACCTCTATATCGGAACCTTGAACAAGTGGATCGCCAAATCCTGGACCTGGACCTCTAGTAAAACCGCCAAATACATGATTGAAAAAATCGGTATTCCCAAATCCTCCAAAGTTCCTAAAATCAGGAAAACCACCAGAAAATCCTTCGAAACCTCCCGCTCCGGAAAAATTACTAGCATCTGAGATGGCGAAAAACGATATGTTGATTTTTTTTTAAGTTCAATTTTTAAGTCGATCACGTTATTATGATAAAGCTTACCAGTGCCCCATTGGTCATATTGAGCGCGATGCTCTTCATCACTAAGTACCTAAGTTGATATGAAGTGTTTTTTCGTTTAATCTTACAAAATTCAGGCAATCATGAAATATTAAAGTATCCATAACGCTACGTACATTGTATGCTTCCTGGATTTTCACAAACTTCTCCTTCGCAGAGGGGTCTTTGTTTGTATCGGGATGGTACTTTTTCGCTAGCTACGAAGAAGAAATTTATGATTTGAGAAATCATATTTGCAAAAGAAAAGAAGGTTTATGAAAACATCTTACCGTATAGTATGCTTTTTTAATATCTGACTGAGAGGCATTTTTTGGAACTCCAAGAAGATCGTAATAGCTTTCCTTGGCTTGCCTCGGAGCTATGTTTTATCGTTAGTGTTAATTTTATTCCGCTTTAGGGAGTCCGTTAAAAATCAGACGATAACATTGCGAATTGCTTACCCGATGTATGAAATAATCTCTAAATAAAACGCAAGGTTTAAAATACGTTACTGGTGACTTGAAAAGTTAGATCAGACAAAAAACATTATTACCTGGTTGTTGTGAGTAATGGCTGTAAAGGTTGTACATAGAATATTTAAAGATTAGATAAGTGAAAAGATCCCATTTCCCAACAACGGCTTGCTGGAGCTCCAAAAGGTACTATCAAAATCCTACTTGCAAAATTAGGGTGGCAAAATGAAGGCGAGAGACCGCGTTGAAAAAGGGTAAAGTTGTTTTTATGTATTCGAGTTGACGTAAAAACCTCCTTACACCGGCATTTACTTAGAAAATTGGTTGAATTTTCACGAAAAGGAAACACGAACATATCATTTTGAACGGACTTTTTGCAGTTCAAACCAAGTGAACTTATTATCGAGCGCACAATACTGGGTTTTATGGGAGGCATCTTGCAAACATTTAAGTCGAAAAAAATCTGCCGAAAATTTTAAAATAACAGATAATCAGAAAAAAAATCATCCAATAATATTTCGCGTTATTTTTTCACCACCCGAATACGTTCAAGGAACTTCCATGTAGAATGAATTCTATTCGTGGCGTTCTCATAGATCTATCTGGGACCCTGCATGTTGGAGATAAAGTATGCGAAGACGCGAAAATCTTGATAATAGTGACTAACTTTAAATGCACATTAGGCTTGCGAAGGTGCCGTTTCCGGCCTAAAAAAACTTCGGCAAGCCGCAATTCCTGTCAGTATCACCGTATCTTTAGTATAGACCACCAATTTTCATCAACCCTTCATAATTAAATATGCGCGTACTAGTTTCGGTTCTGTACCAATACCACGAAAGAAAGTTGTTCAACTCTTTTAAGAAAACTATCGAAAATGGGCTTTGAAGTCCATCGGAACGAGGTAATACTTTTGTGACATTCTGCATTACCAATTGATCGATATCTCATTCATTTTTCCGCGATAAAGTTTTTTACTTCTCTAACCGCAAGTCGAAATTTGATCTTGTCGCGCGGCCTAAGGTGATTTTATATGAACGTAGCCGATCACGTGAAAGGATACTTATTTTGCGAGATTATTTACGTCAGGCCGTTGCTATTTCTCGAAGACGACGCGTTAGAGGATTTTCAAGGGGTATCCACTGAAGAGCCCAATGATGCCATTGTGATTGGCTTATCGCCAACTAATTTTCATTATGAAATGGTACATACAGTATATTACATTACTTCTTATTCCGGTGTGATAAATGGTCGAGACACTTAAAATCCATCAATAATACAGCTTAACAAGGCCTTCCGCATTTTGATCAATAATAATAATGCTTCTTTGATCGCTGTCCATAAGGGAAAGTATTATGCCGAACAGGACGGTTTAAGTTTAGGACCTGGAGCATTCGTCGAAGCGTTAGAGTATTCTAGTGGGATCAAAGCTGCTGTTGTTGGCAAAGTACTTAAAGTTCGGTTCCTTTGTTTGGTTTTTAGGTCATAGTTGTCGCTAAACCTTTTTGTTCTCCTTTTAGCCGGAAAAGATTATTTACGAACAGGCAATTGAAGATATGGGACTTAAAGAGGAGACAAAGCGTGTTGTTATGATCGGAGATGACATCATGCAAGATCTTGGGGGTAATGTACGAATTTGATTTAAAGATCTCTGATTTCTTAAAGTTAACAGTTCTCGTCCTGCAGCTGGTACGAAAGAATTGGGTATGATCAGATATCTTGGTATGCAAGTGCTATTATCATTTTTATTAAGGTTTGTTCCCTTCGGTCGACTAAATTATTTTTTACTTGACAGTTAAAACTGGTAAGTATCGAAATGGGGATGAATCCCTTGACTCCACCATTGATGGTGTTTTTGAAAACTTTGAGAAAGCCGTGGATAAGATAGTGGGTGGAAATATTTCTTAGTATGTGTGTAAAGATGGATAAAGTTTATTTTTTTATTTTTTAAATGAACGAAACTGTAACGAACTCAAAACTCAGATTTATGTCGTCTTAATTAAAAATCTTTTATTCTAACCACTTCAAGGAAGATAAAAGTTCTCCTATTCGCAAGATCAAATTGGCAATGTTCGATAATTAATGAAATCTTGCAAATAACAAAGATTTCCAAATAAATCTGTTATCAGTCACTGTGTCTATAATATAGCTGATTGAAGAATAAAAAAAAAAAATAATTATGCAAAATTCCAGAGATTAGAAATGAATAAAAAAAAAATCAACAAAGTAATACAAGGAAAGCGAGTATTATCGAAAGTGAATGGGACATCCTCCTCCTCTATTGAACCATCCTTGTATACAATGATAATGATATGAGCATAAACAGTTTAAGCGCGTCACGGTTTCGCCTGTTTTTTTTTTTTTTTTTTAGTAAATGAATTAATGGAAAATGTTATTTTATAAAAGTAACATAATCAACCTATAGTATAGTATCACGTACCGGGGGTGAATTCTTCGAAGCAAATGGGACACTCTTGATCAACGAGGGGGTTGTTGTGAGGGAGTTTGTATACTGTATAAAATGAGTGTTCCGAAATATGTCATAGAGTGGTGGTAGTGAAGGGGAGTTGACGTTTATGTTAAAGAGTCACAAATACATAGGAAGACAGAAACCGCGAATAAGTTATAATAATGTTTCGCCAATAAGAGTTTATATAATAGGGCCTTAAATATTTCTTTCCTGCTACCCTTTTTTTTTTTTTTTCCGTTTTGTTCAAGACGAAAAATCTCCTTGCTCACCCACATATTTATAACTTGGGATGCTATTTCCATTCCTGTTGTTGTTTTCTAGACAGCTTCTTAGGTGGTCTTCCTGAGTGGCTTTACTTAGCGGCACGTTGCAAGCGGGGCATTCGGTCATGGTTGAACTGTCGCTCGGACGTCTACGATCAGACGAGAATCCTTTGGTCGATTGATAGCATAAATCACACACACGGTGATTGGAGGAGTCTCCACGTCCCGAAGGGCCCATGAGAACCTGAGATGCTGGTAAGGTGACCCGTCTAGTCGAACATAGATCGCAAACAACCTGACCACATTTTCTAAAAATTATTATTGTTATTACTCTTTTCATTTCATTTCATCTTTTTTGGGGGTGTATTCTTATTAACATTAATCCATCGTGTCTTCATATCAAGAAAAGTTCGTGATCACACAAACCTGCAATGATGCTTCCTAACCCATAATCCAAATTTCTTACGACACCGACGACATTCACTAACACCACTGTCATCTTCCCATTTGCCGGAAGTAGTTGAAGATTGGGCCCGAACATTTGCTATGGTTAAACCTGTCTGAGCATGAACTCTCATGGGAGATACTGAATTCTCTAAAATCGAAGGTTGAGTAGAATTACCAACGTCCTCGCTTTGAACCTCATTGTACCACGGATTTTCAAGCGTTTCGAAACTTCTAATGCTTGGCGCTGGTTGGTGCGGAGAATTCGATCCTACGTTTTGCGTTTTGGTTGTGGGCAATGAGTTTAGGCTAATCGGAATAGGTGGTTGTGGCGTCGTAATATTACTAGGCGTCATAGGAATTTCATGCAAACTTGGACTAGTTTGGGAAACCGATGCGTCCCCTTTTAGCGTGTTTTCCAAATATTCTGCATGATTTGTAAAAGTGTTTATAAGTGATGCGGCCTCTTGTTTTCGCTGCTGGTTAGTATCGGCTTAACGATGCATGGTAAAATCGGAAATTATGTGAGTGTTGAAAATTGTATTTAACCTTATAATAAAAAAATCATGATGTCGTTAATGAAGAATGATAAACACACTTTTTATTCCATTTGACAAAATTTCAATGGCTTCTTTATATTTGGCCAATTGTCCAGCTACGGGAGGGTCATTGTTGATCTTTCCCCTTCTGTTTTCCTGATATTTCTTGATAATTCCTTCAGCCTTCATTACATAATTCGAGCCTTCATTCTCACTATCATTTACGAGTTGTAAAGCATAACTTTGACCGTTGAAACTGAGATCTACAACACGCTTCATCACCCGCACCCATCTTCTTCTTCGCACCCAACTACCTGTGTTTGATGGGGGTGCAACTAGCCACAATTTATCTGAATCTTCAAAGCTTCTAGCATATTGCCAACCTTGGGAATCTACACGCGGATGTGTCATATCAACTTGCCAATCAGTAACCCAGAACCATGAATTTTGCGAAGATTTCGATGAAGTTGCATCAGAATTATCCGACATAGATGGAAGTTTAATTTCTTCTATTGAAGAGGGTTTTCCACTAGGGTGAAGTGACCAAGGTCCACGGACGTCATTTTTCAAAAGATTATTTGATGAGTATTTTGGAGGTCCACGGAGTGAAGACAACGCACCAAAAACGGAAGACGATCGTTGATTCTCGTGTAGAACAATAGGGACAGTGATATGAATGGCGTAAATATCGTATGGCTCATTTGTGGCTGGTAAGTGCACAAGATCACTAAACGACGACGCTTGAAAAAAAAGATTTTAATAAGTGTCATGGAAAGGAGAATACTCTTATAAATATGAACATTTGTGAGTTACAAATATCACAGTTTCTCCTCTTTTATCTGTGAGAATTATAGAAATAAAATAATTACGTTGGGGCAAAGGTTTTTTGCCCTTCCACCATTCACGTTCCGCTTTCTCCAATAATTCGCAAATATACACTTCCTGACTTATAGCAGCAATATCATAAGCGGTCTCGCCAAAATTGTTTTTAATAAGTGGATTTGCACTTCTGCGATTCAAAAGATATTCGACAATATCAATGTGTCCTTTCGATGCAGCATTCACTAAATAATTTTGGTTAATAAAGTAGACCTTCGTTTATGAAATATCACCATGTCTGAAAACTTACTCAATGGTGTATGGCCTTTGCTACTTCTAACATCAACTTCGGCCGCTGTGTGTTCTAACAAATATTTCACAATCTGCAAATAACCCTGAGCAGAAGCATTGTGTAAAGCAGTCCATCCATCATTGTCTTTTTGGTCATATTTCGCATGCTTTTGCAAAAGGAATGCCACAACATGCGTGTGACCATTATAAGAGGCTTTCAACAAGGCAGTCTATTCGTATAGATAAATACGCCGTAAATTAAAAAGCGTATAGTTCGGAAGTTTCCCTCTCATACAAGATATACTTACCTCACCAGTTTGATCTTCAAGGTCTACAATAGCTCCGGCAGCGTCGATCAACCACTTTACAATTTCAAAGTGACCGCGTGAAGCAGCATAATGTAGCGGCGTGAGTCCTGAAGATGGGCTTGCTTCATTGGCAAGTAAAAAGGAAGAGGTGGTTTCCCCGGATCCTTGAGGATCTAGTAGTTCCTTTACTCTTTCCATGTTTCCAGCGGCAGTTGCATCGTGAATACTCAAGTCATTTCCCGTTAAACCTTCTGCATTGGTATATCGAGGATAACTTGAACCTCCACGAAGGGATTGACTGTTTGGAGGAAGTTTTACATGCTTAATGTGTATATTTCCGTAATACCGATGACTTTGGCCTGGAATAGGTGGGTGTACTGCATCAGGGATCCGCATTGAGATTGGAGTAAGGATTGGAGAAGAAACCATATTTTGTTGACAAGGAAAAATAGAAAATAAGCGGCGGCAATCATTTATGACTACAATTACCCTAATTTACGCGGAAAACGGTTACACGTAACTCGGATATGTTCGTTGGTTACACGGAAGTTCTCACTTTTTCCTTTTTGAGTTTACATGGCATAAATTTTTTTTATTATAGAAGTTTATATAAAGCAATATATCAAAATTTTAAAAAAACTAGAAGTAGTTTATGGATAACTAATATTATTTTTTTTTAAAACCAGGACAGTTATTAATCAGACTTTTATTTATAAGGAATTACTTTTTACTGGCAATATTACAAATGTGAAAATTAATATATATCTTTCTTTGTTAATATATAAATTTGCTTTCAAGTTATAAGTAGAATTTGGTATACTTGCTTTTCAAAGTTGGCTTGATATATAGCAGGTGAAGTGGAAAAAAAAAAAGTTGATTTTTTATATATGAAGATATTATAGTTACTTTTTATAAGTTGGTCTTCAAGTTATATAAAGAGTTTGACATATCTATTTTTCAAGTATAACAAAAGTATCCAATAGATAAAATTATATTAAAATTTCTTAAAAACATTGTTACCTAACTATATATATAAACATATATTGTTAAGAGATGAGTGATAAACTTTTGTTATCAATATTAACTTTGTTTATAGGAATAATTAAAATCATTGGTTATTATATAGTATATTATTTTACTAGATATTTTAAACACTAATATATTATTTGTAAAATTTTACATTGGTATTAACTATTATATGACTAGATATTATAAAGTATAACTTCTTGAAAGTTTAGATAACAATAGTTATATAATGGCTTTTTAGATATATTTAATCTAACTATCAACTAGTAAATAATATCAAATATAATAATAATAACTATATTGATTTTTTGGAGAAAATGAACTATTTATTTTTTTTCTAAAAAATCATAAAAGCAAAAAATTTTCTAAAGTCTATAATATAAGAAAAATTAATACTTCTTAATATGATTCTTGAGAGAAAAAAGTTAACTAATCAGAAGAGTAATAAGATAAAAAGTGATAGTTTTAAGAAAGAAAAGTTTAGAAAAAAAAACTTTAAAAAAAAAAAAAATTTAACTTTGACAAGTAAGAAAAAAAAAAGCGAAAGTGAAATATAATAAAAAAGTTTATAAAAGAAAAAGAAAAAGAAAAAAAGAAAAAAGAAAAGGATAATAGGAAAAAAAAAAAGCAAAGAAAAGAAAATAATTTAAAAATTTCCTAAAAAAATTTTTTTAAATATAGAAAAAAGAGTAAAAAAAAGTTTTTTTAATAATTGAATAATTAATATTATTTTATAAATAATATAATAATGTAAATATTAAATAAAAAATATTTAATTTAATTTTTAATTTTATTGTTCAAATTTATAAAACTATAATATTAATTTTTATTAATTGTTTTGTTATTAATAAAGTTTTAATATTATTGTTTAAATCTATAAACTATATAATAATTGTTTAAAAACTAAGTGAAATATATAAAAAATTTAATACTTTTATATAACCAATTATATATATATATATATTATAAATAAATATTATTAGACCTATGGGTCCATAGCTTAGTGGTAAAGCTCCATAGGTCACCAAGTGAAGGTCTAGGGTTTAAACCCGCCTGGTTATAAAAAATTTATCACATTTTCTTTCTAATTAGGTTGCATAAAGGTGTGACTTCTGGCCTTTCCTGTGGTTCCGAGACTGCAATAGGTTACAAAAAAGGAAAGGATTACATGAAGAAAGACTTTTGGCCTAATTCCGGTTAAGTCTCACAATCAGTTACATAATATAAACAATGTCACATTTGGATGTATAGACTGGGCTGTACTTCATCTTAATCAATTCCGATTGCCATCTTCTCCATTTGTTAATTGCCCAAATAAGAAGCCTTGAAGCAAGCACCGAACCGACATCTCTTATGTGAAGATATGGCTATCATGTGGTGAGACAGAGTATGTAGGAGTTGCGCCCTGCTTGGTATTTATACCCCTAGATTTGGCAGCTGATGCCAACCGGTCCGAATCTGGATATGTCTACTAGGAGATTAAAGATTGATCCGTAGGTGGTGTCTTGTAAACCCACATTTACGTAGATTTTTAAGGAGTCACGCCCCAATTGACCATATAGTCCCTAGGTTTGATAGTATTGTAACCAACCAGCAGTCAAAACCGGAGCATTCACTAGGAAGTACATACTTGCATCAAAGGTCCCCGCTACTGCATGTGTTGTGTGAGCGAAAAGGTGTAATGTGATAGGTAACTTATACTTAGGTAATTAATGATATATGCATAAGACTATGACTAAGCTCTATAGGTTAGGTAGTTTAAAACTAGTGGTAGGATTTCTACCCCTTATAGCACCCTGGTATCACGAGGAAAAGTTATTAAGTAATGGGTTTTCTGGATATCAGATGAGTAAAGTTGATAGGCTAGCATTTAATTGTAGTCATGTATTATAATAAATGTTTGATGTAATGGAAAAATGATTTAATATCAATAAAATTTGCATCTAATGCCGTTTAACTTTAAAAAAAAATATATATATATATATATATATAAATATTATTTTTTTATTTAATTTATATATAATAAAATATACAGTATATTGTAAAAAAACAATATTTTTTATATAATAATACAATAAGTTAAATATTAATTTATCTAATTATATATATTTATAATATTATAAAAAAAATTTTAATTAATAATATAATTTTCAATTATTTACTATATATTGTTATAGAGAAAAAGTAATAATATATTATAAAAAATTATAAGAATAAATATAAGAATCAGTATATTAAATATAATATATAAAAAATAAAAATAAAATTAGATAAATTAGATTTGTAATAAGTAATATTAATATAATAAGAATTGTCTTTTTTAATAAAGTTTGATTTGATATAAAAAATTCCAGTATTGTATAGTAAAAGAAATTGCTATATACAAAATAACTATGTAATTAGAATACTAAGTAACAAACTAATTTGCATTAATATTATAAACTCTGACAAAATTCATATACTCTTTTTAAGAAAAAAATTCTTTTGAATATTATATAGTATGAGTCAGATTAAAGAAACTAACTTGTTATAATTTTTTTATAATAATATATATCATTTAATATAATATGATTTTTAAAAATATTTAAATTCAATTTTATTAACTATTTCTTAAATTGTAATATAGACAAATTGCCTGCATATTTAAAATTTTAAATATTAATTTTTATAACTTACTTATATTATAAAAAATATGGTTTAAGATATTCTTTATTAACTTTTTTTTTAATGTTAAGTGAGACATTTCTCACGATCTTTATTAATAGAGTAAAATAATAATTGTTACATAATTAATATTAAGATGTAAGATATATTGCTATATATATCAGCCTATCACCTGATTCAATATATTTTCAGTAAAAAACCCTTGAGCAGAGAAAAGAAAAAGAGCTATTTAATCTTGAAGGGCTAATGCCTCCTTAATAATTTATTCTATCCTGAAGAGACATGGATAGATTTTCTGAGAAAAGATTAAGTATTATATTGGTTAGTTTATATTGATGGGTTTATTTGTTATTGTTTGTTGAAATATTTTTTTGTGTTTTGTTAGGGTTGGTTAGATTCTTGATTAGTTTGTTACAGTTAATTCATTTGAATTTGGTGTTTTGTGAGATGTTGAGGAAGTTTTCTTCTGCTATCATATCTTTATTTCTTGGGATCCAGATATGGTGATAGATAAGTTCGAGAGATTCGTTTTGGATTTCGTTAAGAAGTTTGAAATCTTGTTGAGTTGGTTAAAAGTTGTTGAAAAGACTTTTGGTCTGGAGTGTTCCTGTTGAGAAGTTAATAAGATAGATAATAGTACTGATTGTTTTTTGGATTAGATTGGGATTGAAGTTTTTGTTGTTTTTGAATTTTTTTGTAAGTAAGATTTGAGTGTCAAATATGATTTTTTTGATTATAGATATGTTTTGTTTGCAGAGCCAAATATGATGTATAGTTTCTGAAAAAAAGTTACAGCATAAACATACATCATTTGTGTAGATATGTAGTAGTATAGTGTATAGGTAGGATTTGATTGAAAGTGTATTGGAGAGAATTTTGAGTCAGAAGTTATAGATTTTGGATTGATATTGGTTGGTTGGTATTGGTATTTTTTTTATTTGCTTGAGGTATTGTCTTGTTGGAGGATGGGATTTTTATTTGTATCGGTAAGTGTGAATTGGATTGGTGAGGAGTCAATTATATTAATTTGTGGTAGTTGGGAATTGATTGATTGTGGTTTGTAGAAGGTGTGGGAAATTTGAAGAGTTTGGATTATATTATGAATATTTGAGATGGTAATAAAGTATGGAGTTTTGCATTTTTTTCTGTAATTGGTAGGGGGTGGAGAAAAGGTTTTGCAGTTTAGTTTTGGGTATTTGATAAAGAAGTAATATTCCTTTGATTTGTTAAAAAGAAAAATTATGATTATTGTATAGAGAAGTGATAAATAGGAATTGGATTTGATATTAATTGTAAAAGATTTGTAGTGTTGTATATAGTTCCAAGTAATTGTTATTAGACTGGAGTGATATTTATATGTGAGTAGAATTTCAAAAGGAGTATTGTTATATTGTGGAAGTGAGTTAATGATTTGTTATGATGTTGATGATATGTATTTTTGTGTTAGTGATTTATGTAAATTTGAGTATATTGGGATTTGTGGATTGTTGACAGGTGGTTTTATAGAAAATGATTAAAAGAGATCATTTTTAGTTGCTTTTGTTTTAGTTGTGTTGTCTGGTTGAGATTTGGTAAAGAGGTTAAGTGAGTTGATAGGTATTAGAAGTTGACATTCGTGAGTGCTTTTTTGGACATTTAATAGGCAGCCTTGACATTTAGAGAGTACTATGGACTCGTTAAGATTAGAACTGTTATAGGTCCAGTGGTTGATGAGAAGATTGTTTATATTTGTATTTTGT